TCCGCGAAAGGCACCTGAATCCCATCCTGTCGAAGCCTTCTGCAGCCATCCGATGCTGCAGAGAAAGGTGGGCTGCAAACCGAGCTTGCCTGCTAGTACACGTGCCTTCTCCTGTATCACCTCCAGAGTTAACGATAATCCCACCACAGCAGCAGCACAAATCCATAGCTTCAACCGTCCCTCGAGATCTGGGTGATGGCCTCTGCGGATGCGGCATTCCTTGTCGGAACGAGGAGAAACCTTGTGCCATTCCTCCTTGTTCTTGAGAATTTTGCATATGGTTGAACGGCTGGGAAGAACGCCCAATTCGGATTCAACCCACTTTGCCAAATCTGCATGGCACAATGTTGGGTGCGCCTGAGCATGCTAACAGACGGAGCGTTTCGTAAGCCGATTCAGCCGAGCTCGGGCACAAATTCGCGCCATCAGAAAGGTAACACTGTCTTGCGAGCGTGAATTGGCTGTCGGAAGGGAAGTTCTAAGGGTTACACCCGCCGGTTTCAGTATCGAAAATGTCGCAGCTGGGTGATGTGTGAATAAGCCCCAGCAACGGCCCCAGAAATATTGTCTTGAGAGACTCGGCAAGTTTGTTTCTCCGAGACGCGCGATTGAACCTGCTGTTCTCTATTTCTTCAACTCCACAAATCTCGCTGCTCATTAGGTGTTTCTTCAACTTGCAGGGGGTTCCATGCTAATTACCCCACCAACTAAATCTCGCGCCACTCCATCTGACCACCCCTCTTCTGCGAGAGACGACCCCGTTACACCAATTTCCCCCTTTTCATATTTCCTTTCTATTTCATTCCTCGTTTTATCCTGATTCATTTGGTATTTATCTCATGTAATTTGGTTTCCTATTCCTCCTTTTCCATTATCCTTTGGTTTATCCGGTTATTATAATTATATCACCGACCAGGCTCGGGATGTACTGGCACGCTATATCTAGCCTTTCGACCGACGACATCCGTCCGATGGATATTCGACGCTTCAGATCGACCGAGGCGGAAACGATTTTTTTCTGAGCAATTTCGAGCTACAGCGCGAATAGAACGGGACCTCGCAAGCCGCGAAACTCTTCGGAGCGTCCGATCGTCCGATATTCGACATCGACGACCGACAATTGCTGCAAAAAACGAAACCATCCTTCCACCGAAAGCTGCTGAACGGGAATCAGGAATATCTTCAGATAGCTTGGATTTTGAACCGTCGGATCGGCTTCTCCTTCAACGGACGAGATGGAGCGCGACTTCTGCACAAAGGGAGAATGACGCAAAAAACCAGAAATCAGCCGCCTTCGACACCAATCTAACCATCTTGACAACCAAAATCGATTTCCTCCATTTGGTGACGCATTTGGCGCGCAAAGCATCTCCAGAGTCAGAAATATTCCAGATTATTACCTATTTGGTAATAGCCGCAAGCAGAAAACTACGGCAACAACGGAGGACGTGAATCGTCGGATCGATGCGGAATCAACGGCATGAATGCAGCGGTGACTACACTATGGGAGAACATCACATTGGAGACAATATTCGTGACCAGAGACTGCTCAATCGACACATCTTCTAACTAGTGTCGATAAACGATACTATTTATTTTGACGAAGTCATCTTCGTTAAAAATGGATCGACATCAACACTGCGAGATCTTCACCCAGGAAAAACAATGGAGCTGCGTGAAGACATGTTCTCCATCCATGAGATACTTCATCTAATAAATTTGATCGACAATCTAGGGGATTGCAGAGAAGTAGCTGTTTTCTCTTGCAATGCTCCCAAGTTCAAGTTGCTGCGAAGGAGCATATTTCGCACGCAACAACGACGCAGTGAACCCGTCTCATCAAGGCCAGCAAGACACTACTTTGTAGCAGGAGCATCGATTCGTCTTCATCAAGAATCTCAGCCATCCGATGTGATTGATTGGAGTAGTATCAATATCAACCTTACGAGGCGACACACCAATTATGCGTCGCGATTTCATGTGTTAATGGCCTGCGTGGAAAATTTTCCGTGCATGTCACGATGCTTGACAGATTGAGGAGTAATTAACCTCAAATCCGGCAAGTACTCGTTCACTAGCGACCCTACGGCACATACATTGGAGGCGATTCTACCAGAAGCCGAAGCGTTACAAGCATCAGCGTAACTTCGACGATGCAGGAGAACGCCAAGCAACACGAGGTGTCAACACATAAGGGAGATGCGGACTACTACAACACGGTCACGGATGAGCATACCAGGAATTGCTACCCGTGGATACATTGAGGGGAGAAGCAAATTACTCTTCATACCCTCAAATGAAACAATTACCAGCAACAATGGAGCAACACATGTGTACTAATGTGCACGTGTTCCTGGTAGTTACGCCTGTTACACCCATCAGGAACACTCTACTGGGAAGAGGGAGTTGATGGATTCTCTTTCAACCAATACGAGCTGAAAGAATTCTCTGCAGCAGCTGCCGTCGTCGCCATCGTCACTACCGCCACCGCCGCAGCAGAAGACTCGACACAACAGTCATATCCAAACCCTGAGGAATGAGATACCATTATGCACTAGAATAGCTATGGCAATGCCATATACCCTCAAGAGCAGGAGATATTTGCATATATGAGGATTGGAGGACTACGGTACTCTATCGATATACATGTCCTCATGGCCTATGGCTTTCCTTAAAATCATAAAACCTGCGTCGCAACCAATTCATCACCAGCACCACCTTCACGGAAGCAAATAGGCGTAAAATGGAGCGCCGACGCAACTCCGGATAATGGACTCCGCGTATCTCCAACAACACCCCTGTTTGCCGAAATAGAGCAGACTTCAACACCGATGCTGAGTAGCTGAGACGTCTTCGATATCAACGCTACTTCAAGGAGAGTAACTGAATGAGACAATACATGATGACACAAGAAGATATATCCTAATATGTGTGCCCAGACACCGATGCCTACCTATGGTCTCCGTGCTAAACTGGAAGTGCATAAGGTCATACTGGATTGGCTGTCAGCGTTGCCCATTTGGAAATGGGAGAGGATTATTTGGGAATAGCCCTAACATTCCCAGATGTCCTAACCCATCACCGTGGGATATCTACGCAGCTGAGATTCCTTGCTTGAGCAACCACCGAGGGAAACTACTTTGGCGCTGATTCTGAAAGTTACCAGCTCCATGTTCAGCACTACGGCATGGACCAGCATTCGACAGAAGCTGCATGTATCTGATACAACGCTGCTACCGAAGGAGAACTATGACACGACTGCAGCACCACCAACACTTAGTCATCTTCATACGTGGACGGGATGCGCGTAACACGGGGATGTGCTACCCGAGACTAAACGCATGCTACAGTGTGCCAGCTAGAGCACACAACGAAAGGACAGTACATCTACGCTTCCGCTACAACATCTCGATCATGATCAACGCCATCTGCGTACCGCTAGACACAACAACCGACAAATCTATTTCATCACCGTTGTCCATGATCTCTAACACCGGACACGATACTTGGACATCCAACAGCAGCAGAAGCACTTGGCTACTCATCACTACAGTTATCCACACCATAATATGGACATCATCCATCTTCCATCCAAGCTTCAACCTTGCTTCTGTGGGTCTAACCTCGTTGAAGCTAAGGTCACTTCAGTCACCTTCCGCTTCCGCCTACCAGCCACTTGGAAGATCCATAACAGTTTCCATACCAGCTTCTTAAACCCTATCAAGACCAACCATGCTCTACACCGAATGCCAACCACCGTCGCTGTCCGTTTTCATCCACGCTATGGGGAACTACGTGCTCGGACACCGTCGTCATCAGACTGGCACTCTGGCACTTCTTTGCTGGAAGGGTTATGATACTTCTAAGGCTGTGTCTCTGAATTCGACATGGGTAACGCCGTCGTCCTGTTCGCGACTACATTGTCAAACAGGGTGTTACTTCTACGACCCAGCTTTGAGGGGGGGAAGTGTGAGAGTACGACCCCGTTATACCAATTTTCCATTTCCATATTTCCTTTCTATTTCATTCTTCTTTTTATCCTGATTTATTTGGTATTTATCTCATCTAATTTGGTTTCTTATTCCTCCTTTTCCATTATCATTTGGTTTATCCTGTTGTTATAATTATATCACCGACTAGGCTCGGGATGTACTGGCGCGCTATATCTAGCGTAATCTTGCCGTAATCCCTTAAAGCCAATAGCCTCGCGTGGTTATACGCAGGGTGATTCTATTTCTAGAAGGGTCTATTCCATTTGGATAGGATAAATCTGGTTACCTGGTGTACCCTGGAAGTATAAAAATACACTGTACTGATTGATAGTGAACATTGAGCAAACCTCATTCGATTTTGTGACATCTTCCAAATGTGGAAATATGGTGTCCGAATTATCAGCCTCTAGGCACGTAAGACAGCTTACGACGTCGCATGTGGCCTAGGCCTATTGGCCGGAAATATGGTGTCTGAATTATCAGCTTACGAAGTGAGTGTTTGCGACGCCGTGGTTGGTTGATTTTGCGGGCTCCCTCTGGCTATGGGATTGGTTCCCAAATCGAATTGCAAGATCTTCCCGGATGACTGTCATTAAACTAATGCGGCACCTTGCACATAAATACTTTGGCCAACTACGTCAAATTCAATCATGAAATTGGATTGCTGTGACATAACAATCCGTAGGACCATGCTGGTGGCCCAAAACTAAATTGAACGTACAAAAATGTTTCTTTAATTGCCTGTTCTTGTATCGAATATCTGGGTGTATGTATCGCTTCACGAGTCGTTTCCGGGTGCCCTGGTAACCGTCGCACAGGAGTCGTTGGGGGTTGTAGCCGTCGCCTAGTCCTTGGTCCACCGACAGTTGAGCGACAATTCCCCGTTGACCCATCGTCGTCGAGTGCCACGTCGTCGCAGCAGCCGTCCCATTTCATTCACTCCGCTTGCTCCACCGACGTCCGCTCCTGGCCCCTTTACGTGTTGCTGCTTTTTGCGTCGCCACCATCGGCCAGCACATATTTGTGGGAAGTGTGGGGTCTCCCCATGGATTCCAGTAGCAGCCGTGATTCGCGCGTTTGGCACCCAGCAGATGAAGGCTGCTCAGCTTGTCGTTTGGGGATTGAGGATCTGCGGGGCAAGCGCCCAGCCGTCTCGTGTTCCTCTGTGCGTAGAAATGTAGTACACACGCGCTAAGTGCTCTTCATCCCTTCGTGACTCGCACACCTCTCAGGGTCCGACCTAGTAAATCTTCTTATTCTTCTGCTTTAGTCAGCGCTCCCGCGTCGCACTCTCGCTCTACCACAGCGCGCTCCATGCGTGGCGCGCCGAGCCCAGTGCGTGCTAGCATAAGGCGCAGTAGTGGGGCGCACGGCTCGTGTGACTCCTGTACTAGTGCCAACCCTCGCCGCCATCCCCGCCGACCTCCTCCTCCTCGCTGCCCTGCACCGCGCAGCCGTCCACTCATACGCGCCGCCACCTCCAGGGGAACTATGCCTAGCGCGCGCTGCTCGCGCGCCGCATTAGCGCGGGCGATACGAGCGTCGGTGGCCCCGCAGGTCGTGCTCGTCCTCCTCCTCGCCGCGCCCTTGCTCCCCCCGCCCGTCCTCGCGCGCGTGCTCAACCGCCATCGACTGCACCCGCTCTCCGCCGCAGCCGGCGCTGCGCTGTACGGCGCGGACGACACGGTGCTCGGGGATGTGGGGGGCGGCGGCGAGGGAGGCAAAGCGGCGGGACGGGAAGCGCGCGTGTACGTAGCGGAGGGGTCGGGCACGGAGGCCCCCCCGGCGTCGCTGGATCCGCCCAGCGAGATGTTCGACGTCTGCTCCTTCCCAGGTTCCCGCCCCCACCGCCGCTGCCGCTCGCATGTCGCGCGCCCTTGGCTAGCCGCGTGGGACTCCCGCGGGCGGCACGGCGCACATCAAGCGCTGTCCTTCCATCGCCATTGACCTCCTGGCACTGCCCTTCCATCGCCATTGGCCTCCTGGCGCTGCCCTTCCATCGCCATTGGCCTCCTGGCGCTGCCTGCCACTCAAAACTGTGCCATTCACCTACGGCGTACCTATAGTTGTTCGTATAGCAACGCTACTCCGTATTTCGTGTACCTACACTAAACCACAGTGTACCTACTCCGTTTCTCCAGTCTGGTAAATTTGATGAGTGATCTTATTCCGTGTGTGTGCGCGCTCGTGCCCCCTTGTCCCCGTGTGTGCGTGCGTGGCGGCAGGCGCCATCAACTTCACCATGAGCGCCACGCTCATCGGCACCACGTGGAGGGGCTGGGGCACGTCCCTCGCATGGTGAGCCTCCTACCGCCGCCATGCGTGCTTGTGCTCATCGTCGTGTGCTAGGGCCATGCACAAGGGGGGGTATGGCGCCCGTGCATGCGATGGGGATGGGGGGTGGGTAGTGAGTCGTGTAGGCAGAGAGTCAGGGCAACCGTCTAGAGTCCACATCCTTGTAGCATCCAACTTTCCACGCCCTTTCTCGCCCGTCCACATTCCGTGCGTCCGTGGTGGTGCGAGCTCCATCAGATGCTTCTGCGTGTGCTCCCTGCCTCCGTTTCTGTTCTCACCATCGTGCCACCTGCCCCACCTTCCCACCACCTCCTTGCCCAATTCCGTCCCGCCCTCTCTCCTCCTTCTTCTTCCCCTAACCCGTGCGACCCTCCACTCAGGGAAGGCAACTACATCGGCGGGTTGGCGCGGGCGCACATGGGCGTGCTGCTGGACGCGGTGTTCCACCGCACCAAGGGGCTGGGGCTCAACATCGTGCGCTACAACATCGGCGGGGGCCTCAGCGCGCAGCACAGCCCGCAGTTCCAACGTGACCAGCAGACGCGCCTCAAGGCCATGCCCGGGTACTGGCCCGCCGAGAAGGCCGCGTACGACTGGAGCGCGGACCAGCGCCAGCGGAACGTGTTGTTTGGTGCGCGGGCGCGTGGGGCAAACATTTTTGAGGCGTTTGCCAACAGCCCGCCCTGGTGGATGACAGTGTCGGGGGACGTGGCGGGGGCGGCGGGGAGGAACCGCACGAATCTGCAGCGCAAGTACGAGGGCAAGTTCGCGGAGTACCTGGCGACCGTGGTGGAGCGCTTTGCCAAGGACCCGGCTTGGAACCTGACGTTCGACACGCTGGAGCCGTTCAACGAGCCGCTGGAGGGCTTCTGGAACGCGGGCAACACACAGGAAGGCTGCAACCTGGACGTGGCAGCCATGGGGCGGGTGCTCACGCACACTGCCAAGGCGCTCAAGGCGAAGAAGCTGCGCACTCGCGTGGCGGCGTTCGACAGCTGGGTGGAGAGCACAGCGCGGGCGCTGAACTCGGTGCGCGGCATGCGGTCTGCGGCGCGCATCAACGTGCACTCGTACATGGACCCCGCACCGCCCTCCAAGGACCCGGCGCTGTACACGGGGCAGGTGTACCTGAAGGTGCGCGACATGGCCAAGCGCCTGGGCAAGGAGGTGTGGGTGAGCGAGTCGGGGCACCTGGGGCGCGGCGGGCACCCATACGACCTGTCCCTGTACGTGGCGCGCACGGTGATAGAGGCCGTCAACATGCTGCACGCCTCTGCCTTCGTCTACTGGATGGCCTACGACCCCGACATCGGCTGGGCCATCGTGCGCTTCCCCTGGACCTACCCGGCTGGCTACTCCGGCCCCATCCCCGAGCCTGTGCTGTCAAAGCGGTATTACATGTTCAAGATGCTCACGAGCCTCGTGAAGCAAGGCAGCCGGCCGCTCGTGATGCCGCCCAAGTGCAGGCATGGCATGGCTGGCTTCTACAACGCTGCTGACCGCACAGTAAGCGTGTTTGTGGTGAACCAGAAGCCCAAGGACGCACAGCTGTCAGTGAGTCTAGCCGGCTTTCGGATAAATGTGAATGGCAGGACTAAGGCTGTGGTGAGGCGCACTTCGTGGTCACAGGATATGGCTGAAGTGGTGCTCTCTCAAGGGAAGGCAGTTGCTACTGTAACAATACAGGGCCGAAGCTTTGTTTCCCTTCACTTCACTAATGTGCAGCGAAGCTTTCCGTAAGACCTGACAACCTTCGCCGTAAATACCACACAATACTGTCAACTTATACATGTTAATTGTGTACAAGTTATAGGCTAGACTGAGGTATGCTTTTAGTGAGTACAACCAACTAGTATTTGTTCTAGGTTTCTACCTCTAGTTCATTATTCAGTTCTTACTTTAACATGGTATCACGCGTAGGTTAGTATCCCCCACCTACCGCTTCCGTCCGTACCCTAGCTAGGTGTCACATGATCGAATGTGTTGAGGAAAGGTTCCACTATCGATCAGTACAATGCGCTTTTATACTTCCAGAGTACATCAGGTAACCAGGTTTATCTTATCCTAAGGGAATAGACCCTTCTAGAAGATAGAATCACCCTGCGTATAGCCACGCGAGGCTATTGGCTTTAAGGGATTACGACAGGATTACGCTAGATATAGCGCACCAGTACATCCCAAGCCTGGTCGGTGATATAATTATAATAGCAGGATAAACCAAAGGTTAATGGAAAAGGAAGAATAGGAAACCAAATGAGATGAGATAAATGAAAAGGAAGGAAATAAGAAAAGGGACAAATGGTGTAACGGGGTCGTACTCTCACACTTCCCCCCCTCAAAGCTGGGTGGTAGAAGTAACACCCTGCTTGACAAGGTAGTCATGCAGAGGACGACGAGCGTTACCCATGTCGGACTCAGGGACCCAGCTGTCCTCAGAAGGATCATAACCCTTCCAACGGATGAGAAGCTCCACGGTGCCATTCCGACGACGGCGGTGTGCGAGCACGGACTCGACCTCGTACTCGGGCTCATTCTGGACGAGGACGGGCGGTGGCGGCGGCGGTTGGCGTCCGACGAAAATCGTGTTCGGGTCCCGATAGGGCTTCAGAAGTTGGACGTGGAAGGCGTTGTGAATCTTCCAGGTAGCTGGCAGGCGTAAGCGGAAGGTAACAGGAGTGACCTGTGCTTCAACGAGAAAAGGCCCGCAAAAGCGAGGTCGAAGTTTAGATGGGAGATGGCTGATGTCCAGGTTGCGGGTGTCAAGAAGCACCTGCTCTCCCACCGTGATGGTGTGATCGTTGCGATGGCGATCGGCTTGGCGCTTTTGTTGCTGTTGAATGTCGAGTAGGCGCTTGTGGGTCCGATCCCAAAGCTGATGCATGGTTGTGATGAAATCATGTGCTGGTTGGACTGTAGCTGATGCTGTCGGTTTCTGTGGTGTGAGTGGGTGGCGTCCGTAGCAGAGGAAGAACGACGTCTGTCCAGTAGCGGCATGCGTAGCATTGTTGTAAGCAAACTCTAGTATGGGCAGGTGCAAGTCCCATTTGGAGATGTCGTCCTTGCAGGCTGCTCGGAGGAGTTGCTCAACAATTTGGTTGAGGCGCTCGGTCTGTCTGTCTGTCTGCGGATGGTAAGCAGATGACATGGCGAGTTTGGTCCCGAGGAGAGACATAAGTTCCTTCCAGAACTTGCTGGTGAACTTAGGGTCTCGGTCGGAAATGAGTGTGGTTGGAATGCCATGCTGTGAGATGATGTATCGAACGAAGAGTTGTGCTGTTTCTTCAGTGCGTGCTGTCGTGTGTGTCGGGATGAAGTGTCCCATTTTGGAGAACTTGTCAATGACGACAAGGATGGCGTCATGACCGCTGGAGGTAGGTGGTAACCCGGTGATGAAGTCTAGGCTAACCACTTGCCATGGTTGTTCTGGGACAGGAAGAGGCTGCAGTAGTCCCGCCTTTTTCTGCTTGCTGCTCTTCATCCGCTGACATGTATCACACGAGGTGATGAATTTCTGGACGTCGTCTGCCATATGGGGCCAGTAGTAGTGTTTAGCGATACCGGTGAGCGTCTTGTTGCTACCGAAGTGTCCCGCGTAGAGGACGTCGTGGTATTCTTCGAGTAGTAACTGGCGCAAAGGAGGGTAATTGGGTACCCAGATTTTTGTTGATCCTTTCCGGTACGCGATGTCACTGTCCCACTGTAGCAGATGTCGCTTTTCTGCCAAGGGAATTTCGGGGTCGGTGGCGTACCCGTGTGTGAAGAGTCCCTTGAGTAGTGGATTCATCCCTTCAATATGAATGGCGGCAACGTGTGCAGGCTGGCTGAGAGCGTCTGCTTTGTTCTTGTGACCGGGCTTGTACACGATGTCGTAGTGGAAGTGTGTCTCGAGGAAGTCGATCCACCGGACCTGCCGCCTGGAAAGGTTGGGTTGTGTCTTCAAGTATTTCAGGCTGCAGTGGTCGGTGTAGACGGTTGTTCTTCGTCCTTCGAGATAGCATCTCCACGCTTTGAAGGCGATGATGATAGCCAGGGCCTCTTTGTATCGGGTAGTTTAGTTCTGCCCCGTGCAGTTTCTTACTTAGGTAAGCGATTGGTTGCAGTCCATTCCCTTGATCTTGCATCAAGACTGCTCCCACTGCTTGGTCACTGGCGTCAGCTTCGATGATATAGTCGCGTTCGGGATCTGGCAAAATGAGTACCGGTGCGGACGTAAGTGCTTGCTTCAGCTGCTCCACGGCTTCCTGGTGCTTCGGCTCCCATTTGTAGGGCGTGTTCTTCTTCAGCAGATTCGTGAGTGGTGCTGCGATTTTCGCATACTGTGGCACGAACCTGTTGTAGTAATTAGCGAAGCCTAGGAACTGCTGCAACTCCTTCACGTTCTCGGGTGTCTTCCACGAGCGTACGGCCTCGATTTTCTTGGGGTCGACGTGAACTCCTTGAGCGCTCACCATATGTCATAGGAACTGGACCTTTTCAAGGGCGAATTCGCTCTTGGACAGTTTGACGTAGAATCGTTCTCGTCGAAGAATTTCGAAGACGCGTCGCAGGTGTTCGACGTGCTGCTTCATGTCGCGCGAGTAGATGAGTATGTCGTCCAGGTACACCACCACGCATTCGTCCAAAAGTGGTCGTAGAATGTGGTTCATTTCGGCTTGGAACGTTGCCGGCGCGTTGGTGAGTCCGAATGGCATTACCAAATACTCGTACGATCCGTACCGAGTTCGGAAAGCAGTTTTGTGGATAGAGTTGTCCGCCATCCGTATCTGCCAGTATCCGGACCGCAGATCCAGTTTGGAAAATACCGTAGCTCCCCGAAGCTGGTCAAGCAGGTCATCGATTCGTGGTATCGGATATTTATTCTTGATGGTCTGCTTGTTAAGAGCTCGGTAGTCGATGCACACGCGCAGGCTTCCGTCCGGTTTCGGTGTGAAGAGTACTGGGGCACCGTACGGCGAAGTGGATGGTCGCATGAGTCCTTTGGCTAGGAGATACTCGATCTGTTTTTTCATGTCAGTCAGCTCCATAGGGCTGAGTCGGTATGGTGCTCGGAAGGTCGGCTTCGAACCCGGTTCCTCCACGATCTCGTGTTGATGCGTTCGGTATGGCGGTAGCTCGTTCGGAAGATCGTCAGGAAGAATGTCTTGGAACTCCTTCAGTAATTCCTTGATTTTTTCTGGAGTCTCCGAGGCTTTCTCTCCGTCATTCTCCACCTCTGTTGCTATCGCCAGGAACCCGGTGTCGGTTCGCTTCACGTCCTTCTCGAATCGTGCGAGTGTCTCCACTGGGATATCTCCAGTATCGTCCCAGTTGGGTAGCTGTACTCTCCGTCCATTGTTGTAGATGCTTGCGGTGCGGTTCACCCAGTTGATCTCGGGGTTGAATCTTTTCAGGAAGTCTCGCCCGAAGATCAAGTCAAGCCCTTTGATGTTGGTGATGGGGAGTGCAGGTCTCCAGCGCAGTGGTCCGATTTGTAGGTGTAGCACTGCTTCGCCGTGTACTGGTAACTTGCTGCCGTCCACCATCGTTGCAGAGAATCCTGAAGGCTTGTACTCTTCCCGAAGTCGGTCGATCATTGCCTTGTCGCAGACGGTGTGTGATGCTCCGCTGTCCACGAGTGCTTGGAGGCGTCGTCCTTTGCAGATGACCTCGAGCACGAGGGGCAGTCGTTGCTCGGAGTACCCAAAGATAGTTTCATTCATTGGGTCATAGGGTACATCCCAATATTCCGTACACACCTTTGTGTTGCTGTCTACTCCTGAGCTGGCAGCTGGCCGAGGCTGCTTGGAGAACGGCTCTTCTCCAGGGCCCGGAGTTTCCCTGACGACTGTGCGCGTCACTGATGCCGAAGAACTGGATGCATCCATAGGAGGAGTTCGGGGTTGGTGCAGCTTCTTGTAGACCCCCAGCTTCCTTTTGAGCTGCTTCAGCTCCACCGACGTCTTCCATGGGGAACGGGTAGTCGTTGTGGGCTGGTGTCGGGAGAGGACGTTGACTCCGTGGAAAGGTCGGCTTCTTTCCACACTCCTTAATTTTTTCCCCAAGTTGTCCGGTACCGGTATAATCTCCACCGCTGTCTGCTTCTTTTGGAGTCCCTCTCGAAATTTCTCCAAGGCTCTAGCTCCTCGAAAATCATAAGTTTTCATTAAAGCATCTTTATAAGATAACTTTAACGAATTCTTATAATTTCTTGGGTCTTCAAGGAGTTTCCCTGTCTCGGCAGAGTCTTTTTTCGCGGAGTCGTATTTTTCCTCGGCGATTTTCCCTGGCGAAGACTGGTCGTGGGGTGGAGATTTTCCCCCATCATTTCCTCCTTCTCGCGTCGAATCAGCTTCGTCGAAGTTGATTTTTCCGGAATCCCGCAACCGCTTTCGGATCTTTTTATTTTCGCCAGCTAGATCCGCAATCACTGGCGACTCCCGTTTTTTGACTTCTGATTGGCTGAAGGAATTCCGCCACTGTTGCGTGCCCGATACTCTGCGCGTGCGGCTTTCATTTTGCTGCAGTCGAAGATTCGATGACCCGGCACCCCGCAAAAATCACACGTGTAGTTGGTGTTTTTCGGACGTGGCCGCCCCTTGAATCTGTCGACTTCCATCGGGTCGGCGAACGTGGGGTGAGCCGAGCGGTCGCCCTGTCGCGTACTGCCGACGTGCGTCCGTCGTGTTCCGGCGTTGACCATGTCGAAGCGCTCCGCTGCCGAAACGACGTCACTGTAGCTCGCGTAGTTTGACGCTGCGACTTGTCGTTTGACTTCGGTCTTCAGCCCGGCGAGGTACGATTGTACTTTTTCCCCTTCGGTCAGGTCCGGAATGCGGTTATAAAATTCCTCCATCTGCTGCGTGTACTGCGCTACACTCCCGAACTGTCGGTGTCGATGAATTTTTTCCCGGGCAAGGAAACTCGAATTTATCGGTTCGAAGCGTTTCAGCAGGTCAGCGCGGAATTGCTGCCACGTGGCTTCACCGTGGATGAAGGTACTGTTGCCGCCAATCCACTCGAGTGCCGGCCCTCGCATCAGTGTCGCCGCGAGTCGTACACGTTGACCGTCCCAGACTGGCGAGCTCCATCCGACGGCTGCGAAGTAGATCTCCATTCCGGCGATCCATCTGCGGGCGTCGGAGTTTCGATCGCTCGGATCGAACGGCTCAGGTGGGCGCGGTTTCGGAGCCTCGAGAAACTGCTGCGACTGCTGCGTCGTCGCCGTTGTCGTCTCGTGCTGCGCTCCGGCGAGTCGAGTTACTCGAACTCGTTTCGCCACGCTTCACGATCCGCTCGCATTTCCTCCTGAAGGGCTGCGATGCGCGCGAAGAGCTGCTGGGTAACCTCGGCGTTGTCGAAGGTTGCCATCCTGTTCAAAACACGCACGGAGGGGGTAATTAGAAAATCGCGGAGCTGGTGCTTACCAGAATCGGCGTCGAATTGGTCGCCCCCGGCGGTTTTTCGAGGCAGGATCCCCGCTGCTGCTGCTTAGCTGAGCGCGGTCGAGTGAGAAAAGCTCTGATTACCAAGTGTCACAGGATCGAATGTGTCGAGGAAAGGTTCCACTATCGATCAGTACAAGGCGCTTTTATACTTCCAGAGTACATCAGGTAACCAGGTTTATCTTATCCTAAGGGAATAGACCCTTCTAGAAGATAGAATCACCCTGCGTATAGCCACGCGAGGCTATTGGCTTTAAGGGATTACGGCAGGATTACGCTAGATATAGCGCACCAGTACATCCCAAGCCTGGTCGGTGATATAATTATAATAGCAGGATAAACCAAAGGTTAATGGAAAAGGAAGAATAGGAAACCAAATGAGATGAGATAAATGAAAAAGGAAGGAAATAAGAAAAGGGACAAGTGGTGTAACGGGGTCGTACTCTCACACTAGGCCCCGCCGCTTCCCCCTGGGCCCCATCGCGCCTCCTAGCCCCGTCGCGCCTCCTAGCCCCGTCGCGCCCCTCCTGGGGCCCGCCGCGCCTCCTAGCCCCGTCGCGCCCCTCCTGGGCCCCGTCGTGCCTCCTAGGCCCTGTCGCGCCCGCCTGGCTCCGTCGCGCCCCTCCTAGGCCCCGTCACGCCTCCTAGCCCCGTCGCGCCCCTCCTGGGCCCCGTCGCGCCTCCTAGCCCCGTCGCGCCTCCTAGCCCCGTCGCGCCCCTCCTGGGCCCCGTCGTGCCTCCTAGCCCTGACGTGCCCCTCCTGGGCCCCGCCGCGCCTCCTAGCCCCGTCGCGCCCCTCCTGGGCCTTGTCGTGCCTCCTAGGCCCCGTCGCGCCTCCTAGCCCCGTCGCGCCCCTCCTGGGCCCTGCCGTGCCTCCTAGCCCCGTCGCGCACCCCCCGGGGCCCCGTCGTGCCCCTCCTGGGCCCCGTCGCGCCTCATAGCCCTGTCGCGACCCTCCTGGGCCCCGTCGCGCCCCCTAGCCCCGTCGCGCCCCTCCTGGGCCCCGTCGCGCCCCCCCTAGCCCCGTCGCGCCCCTCCTGGGCCCTATCACGCCTCCTCGCCCTGTTACGCCCCTCCTGGGCCCTGTCGCGCCTGCTAGGCCCCGCCGCGCCCGCTTGGCCCCGTCGCGCCTGCCTGGCCCCGCCTCGCCCTGCCTGGCCCCGCCGCGCCCGCTTGGCCCCGTTGCGCCCGCCTGGCCCCGTCGTGTCTGCCTGGCCCCACCGCGCCTCCCTGGCCCCGCCGCGCCTGCCTGGCCTCGCCGCGCCCGCCTGGCCCCGCCGCGCCTCCCTAGACCCGCCGCGTCTGCCTGGCCCCTGCCACGCCTGCCAGGCCCCGCCGCGCCTCCCTGGCCCCGCCGCGCCTGCCTGGCCCTGCCGCGCCTGCCTGGCCTCGTCGCGCCCGCCTGGCCCAGCCGCGCCTCCCTGGCCCCGCCGCGCCTGCCTGACACCTGCCATGCCTGCCTGGCCCCGCCGCGCCTGCCTGGCCCCGCCGCGCCTGCCTGGCCCTCCCGCGCCTGCCTGGCCCCGCCGCGTCTCTCTGGCCTCTCCCACTACTCGCCTAGCCCCTCTTCGTGCCTGCTCGGCCTGCCGTGCCACCTCGGGCTCCGTCTACTCTGCTCGCCGGAGCTGGGGCATGTCGCGGCTGCCGTGCTGGAGAGTGCCGCCGCCGTGTCCCTGCGTCGCTGTGTTCCTGCGGAGCTGTGGAGCTATGCCGTTGACCCTGCACGATTGCCGACTTCGTGCTCTGCCTGGACGCTGAGGGCCATGCGGTTGACTTCGCCGCCTGGCTCTCTGATCTCCGCCGCCACCTTACAGGTCAGTGCCAGGATGGCCACTCTTTGGTTGTCCATGTCGATGGCTTGCTACCCCGCCCCCCCGCACCTGCTCCCCTCCCTGCTGACTCCTCCTCTAATGACCGTGAGACCTTCTCTATTGCTGCGCTTGCCCGTGCGGTCTGGGACTCTTGCGATGCAGTCGCTCAGGTTGCTATTAGCCACGCCCTCCCTGTGTCTGAGCGCTCGCGTTTTGCTACTATTGAGACGGCCAAAGCTTACTTAGACGCCGTTATTGCTTGCTATTCCACACCCGCGTCTGCTTCTGCTGGCCGCCTGCTCTTCCCTATGCTTTTCCCAGACCTTGCAGCCTTCCCTACAGTCGCAGACTTTGCCACTCACCTGCGTGCACTAGAGGCCCGCTATCGCACTGCCAGCACTGCTGCCTAGCTCACTGCGCTCCCACCCCCTTTCTGCATGACGCTCTATTTTATCGCCATGCGCCTGCCAGACCGCCTTGCTAGTGCTCGCGATCACTTCCTTAGCCAGCACCCGGGTGACCTCACCCTCACCGCCTTTGTCGATACCCTCACCGAGATCGAGACTCGCCAGCGCACTATCGCTCAGTCGAGCGGTGCGCCGGCAGTCTCTATCTTTCACGGCTGTGCCCCCTCCCAGTGCACGTTCACTGACGTTTCGGCTGCGGTCGCCACGTCGACCCCTCTCACCGAGACGGCTGCTGCGGTCCACCCGCAGCAGCGCTCGCGCCGCGGTGGCCGTGGTCGTCAGGGAGGTAGGGGTGGTGGTGCAGGTGGTGGTGGTGGTGGTGGTCGTGACGGTAGTCCGCCTGAGGGGACTACCACCGGTGGGCAGGAGCAGCAGCCCCAGCCGCAGCAAGAGCAGCCCCAGCAGCAGCCGCCGTCCCAGCAATAGCCGCCGCAGCCGTGGGCCCGTCTCCCGCCTGGTTGGCCCAGCACCTCCGGAGGTGGTGGCCGTGGTGGCGGCCCGCGCAGCTCGGCGTCTACCGGTGGCTCCGGTGCTGTGCCCTGCCAGTACCAGCTTCAGACCGGGCCTCTCCGCGGCACTCTG